CGAGAGCCATCCCGGAGAGGAAGACGACGAGGAGGAGGAGGAGGACGCGAACGAGAAGGAAGAGGAGGGGCGGCATGGTGGGGAGGGCGGGAGCAGCGGTATGAATCTCTACGTGCCTTCTGTTGCTGGGTCTTCACATGTGTCCACTGTTGCTGCTGGCTACGGCAGCGGTATCAGTGGTGGCAGTGGCACTAGAGCAGCTTGCGAGTCTGCCTCTGCTGCTGCTGCTGCGGCGGCGGCTGGTGTAGGAAGTGCAGGTGGTGTGGGGGGAGTGGATGAGGCAGGGGACAGGAATGGGGGGCGGAGAGTGCTGAGGATGAAGTGGGAGGGTATGGACCTAGTCAGGTGGACTGTGGATGACGCTGCTGCTGCTACCGCTGCTGCTGCTGCTACTGATGCTGCTGCTGCTGCTGCACCTGCGTTTGCTTGCGCTGCTGGTGCTGCTGCTCCTGCTGCTTCAGCCAGTAACGCAGCAGCAGCAGCAGGTGTTGCTGTTGGTGCAGGGTCAGAGGAGCAAAGGTCACAGCAGCTGGTAACGCCAGGAAAGGGTCGGTCACGAGGCAGGAAAGCACCACGCTGTGCCACTCTCTCATCTGCTGCCGCTGCAACCGCCGCCGCTACAGCTGTCGCTACAGCTGCCACCACAGCTGCTGCAACAACTATCGGCAGCACAAGTGGGGGAGGTCCTGCGGAGTTAGTAGCACCGGTGCGGCTACTGGGCACACCACCACAGCGCCACCACACCTCCCCCCTCCTTCACAACCCCTCTCTTGCGCACCCCTCCTCACTTGCTCACACTCACAGCCCCTCTGCCGCCCTTGTGGCCTCCTCATCTCCTCTCCACCGCAGTCTGGCTGAGGCCTTGCGACACAAAGCACCTAGAGCAGGAGAGGGAGGAGGAGCAGCCGCAAGCTCAGACGGATCAGGCTCAGCCTCAGTCGCTGCTACTCATGTTGCTGTTGCTTCTCCTGTTGCTGCTCCTGTTGCTACTCCTGGCGCTGTTGCCCCCGGTGCTGCTGCTGCTGCTGCTGCTGCTGCTTCTGGTGCTGCTGCTCCTGTGTCCACTGCGCCTTTTCCCTCTGCGTCCACACCTTTCCGTCCAACGGATCACCCATCTCCCTCGCAGCCTGTAGCCTCTGTGCCAGCTACCACAGTGGCAAAGCCCACTGCTTCCCGTCCATCTGCCTCTTCCTCTCCACCCTTCCCCCTCCGCCCCTCATTCCCTTGGTCTATCCCCACTGTCCCCGCTGCCCCAGCTGCCGCCGCCGTCCCCACTTCTCATCATGCCGCCATGCTGCCTACCTCACACGCGCCTGCCAAGCCTCCTGCTTTACCTCTCATGGCCCCAAACACCCCGTCCGTACACCCTCACACCCCTTCAGTGCTCCCTCACACTCCCCTCTCGACGCCTCACACCCCTGTCCGTCCCTTATCTCTCTCCTTGTCGTCCTATCCTCCCTCTGCCTCATCAGCAGCCATGCTGTCCTCTCAGCAGCCATCGATGGTGGGAGGCACAGCAGCAGCAGCAGCAGCAGCATGCATAACAGGTTCCTCCGCATGGCGTCTCCCTCATAGTGCATTTGCCTTAGCCCCTTCCTGTCATCCCGAGCCTCCTGTTTCGGTTCGTCTCCCACCCTCAGCTGTGGAGATGGGTATTGACAGATCGGCATCGGCAGGCGGAGCGGATGATCAGAGAAAGCATCAGCATCAGCAGCTGCAGCAGCAGGTGCTGCAGGGTGAGAGGCGCAAAGCAGCAAGAAGCCGCAGTGCCTATGCCATGCTTGCTCCTTCACCATCCGCCCTGGTACAGGCCCAGGCCCAGGCACAAGCACAAGCACAAGCACGCGCACAGGAACAAGCTTATGGGCATTCACAAGCTCATGCACAAATGCATGTGCACGCAGGAACGCATTCCCAGCCGCAAGCAGAGGTGCAAGCAGGGGCACGTCTAGGGGCAGGAGGACGTGCAGAGAGAGAAGCACAAGCCAAGGGGCAGTCTTTTTTGCTTGGACCAGGCTCAGCAGCGGCTCTGGGGCCCGCAGGCATGGCAGCTGCAGCCGCACCTGTTGCAGAGGCCAGCAGTCCCATTCAAACGCGTGCTCCTGCTTAGGCCTCCGCATTACACCCCAAACACGGTGCCTATCGCACCCGTGACATCAGCTGTATGATATTACTACATCGTGTGTGGGTACATCCATCTTCGTTGGCAGGGTGATTGATTATGGGGGTTTCTTGTGAGTTTTTTTGTTCCTTTTTCTTTTTGTTTGTTTTCGTTTCTCTTTTTCCTTTGTTGGGGATGGTTCTGCAATAAGGGAAACGATACTGCTGTGTAGAGAGAAAAATGTCTGTGCCTTTATGTGTGTATTCTGTGTTTCAATGTTAAACTTTGGGAGGTTGTCTGGTGTTGCTGAGTGTATATGCTGTTTGTCTTCGTCAAAACATATTACCGTATGATTTCCTAATTTACTATGGTCAATTACGGTGAATCATTCTCTACTGTTAGGCCCCTTGGCCTAAATCCGCTAAGGAATAGCGGGGTCGAGTATATCGAGAATAAAACGCAGCGGAAGACTTTGGCGAAAGAACTATTAGCGAAAGAGGCGAAGAAGTAACTGAGTAATAGTTGAATGAGAATTGGTTGATATTGGGGAATACAAGCAAGGTTGATATAGCATGCAAGATCGAATGATGGAAAGTAATTCGTGGGACTAGAAAGTAGAAGCAAGAAAAGTAGAGTGCCACGTGGCACAAGGAAATCAAGGGAGATAAGGATAAGGGTGAGTTGGAAAGTACTGTTCAAAGGGAACAGTAAATCCCCCCTTAACACTACCCCCCTCCCAAGGAGGCGACGTCCGCGGCGCCTGCAGACTGAAGGTACGCTTGGAGGTAAGCGTTGTCAGGAGACAGTGAGGACGAAGGAACCCAGCTGTCGTCTGCTGCGTCGTAACCACGCCAACGAACAAAGAAGTCGATGAAAGAGACACCCCCCTGGAGACGGTGACGGTGCCTGAGGATGCGCTGGATCTGGTAGTCGGGCTCGTCTGTGTCAACAGCTACCGGCAGTGGAGTGCGATCACGACCCGAGAAGGTGGCGTTGGGATCGGTGTATGGACGAAGGAGAGACACGTGGAATGACGGGTGCATGCGGAAATGAGCGGGAAGGCGGAGGCGGTATGCGACTGGACCTAGTGCGCGCTCAATGACGAATGGACCAATGAAGCGTGGACGAAGCTTGCTGTCCTGTGGCAGTCGGAGGTTGCGGCTATCCAAAAGAACACGGTCGCCGACTGCAAAAGACACCTCACGACGACTGCGGTTGGTGATGCGTGCCATGCGTGCATTTGCGGGCTCAAGGTGCTTCCTCACGTGATCATGAATGAAGGTGAGATGCTGGTGGAAGTTGTCCGCACGAGGGACTGTGGGTGTGAGATCGACACTGTCAGAATCTAGTAGCAGGAATGAATGAACTATGAAAGAGTTGGGTACAAGTATGAAACCCTAAAAGGGGCTGTACCCCATATTGGCTACCCCACTACAGCCTACACATATGTAACATGCATATACTTTGACACACCCCCATAGGCAAAGTGGGGGAGAGCAAGGGGTCACGAGACCAGTCAAGAGAAGCAAAGCAAGCTCAGGGTGGATCACAACGTCACCACACACACTGAGCACAAGCAAAGGGCCACAAGGCCAGTTCACATGCAGAGGTATATATGCAAAAACAACAGCACAGTGATCTCTACCTAACAAGAGCAAGCATGCAGGTATATATATAGGTCACAGTACAAGCAAAGTCTACAGCAAGTGAGGAAACGTGGGCACAAGGCCTAACAGAGTGCAGAAACGCTGATGATCACCAGACGGAAGCGCCTTGGTGAATATATCAGCAGTGTTGGCCCGAGTGGCCACGTGAGCAAGACGAAGCTGACCATGCTGCTGCAACTCTCGAGCCAGGAAGTAACGCAGAGCGATGTGCTTCGTTCTATGCTCCAGTCTGTGCTCCTGACACAAGGCAATGGCGGCCTTGTTGTCGACGTACAGCACTGGAGGAGAACGAGGCCGCTCTCCCAAGTCGGTCAGCAGGTAGGTGAGCCAGCGTAACTCCTGTGCAGCCATGGCTGTGGCGTAGATCTCAGCCTCACAACTGGAGCTGAGAACTGAAGACGAGCGTGTAGAACGCCAAGAAACCGAACCAGAGCCAAGGCTGAAGGTGTAACCCTGTGACGACCGCTGCGTAGCCTGGTCGTCAACCCAAGAAGCGTCCGAGTGCCCAGTGAGGACAACGTCGCCCCGTCCTCCAAGCACGAGCCCCATGCCCGATGTACTGCACAAGTAGCGCAGTACCCCTCTTAGCAGCATCCATGTGCACCTTTCGGTGCCGACCAGGAGCCACGTAGCGAGCCAGAAGGCCAAGAGGGTACGCAAGGTCAGGACGAGTGCAGATCATCAGGTACATGAGGCAGCCCACTAGCTCTGGGTAAGGACCACTCGGCTCTACGGACTCGTCCGAAGGTGGAGCTGAGAGCGAGTGACCTGTAGCCAGAGGAGTGGCCTGTGCCGAGGACCAGGTGAAGCCGAAGCGCTGAAGGACCTGCTGCACCATGTGTGACTGAGTCAATGTGATGGTGCGGCGTGCTCTGTCCCGGGTGATCTGCAAGCCAAGGTAACTGCGCAGCTTACCCAGGTCTGTGCACGTGTGTCTCTTCTGCAGCTCCGACTTCACCAGGGCGAGTGCCTCAGTGTCAGCAGTGGCAAAGACCAAGTCGTCAACGTACACGAGGATGTAGAACGGCGGCAGCGAAGTGTCGGTGCGCAGAAACAGCGACGGGTCAGCAGTCGATGGAGCAAACCCAAGAGCCGCAAGTGTCGTCCTCAGTGTGTCGTGCCACTCACGTGGCGCCTGGCGGAGACCGTAGACCGGCCGCCGGAGGCTCCACTGGGTACCAAGAGGGAACGACCCAGTGAAGCCAGGTGGGCGGCGCAGCCAGATCTCCTCGTGCAGGCTGCCCTGTAAGAAGGTTGTGCTGAAGTCAAGAGAGTGAAGCTCGTAGTCACGCTGAGCGGCAACGTGCAGCAGCACCCGAAGAGTGGTCATCTTTGGGGTGGGGGAGAAGGTCTGGAAGAAGTCTACTCCCTCTCGCTGACTGAAACCTCGTGCAACGTAACGCGCCTTGAAGACAGGCGGAGAACCCGGCGGCCGCTTCACCCTGAAAATCCACATGCCACTGACGATGTTCGCCCCAGGTGGGGGAACCTCATCGACGTAAGTGCCTGTGGACTTCCAGGATGCCATCTCTGCGTCCATGGCTGTTTGCCACTGAGAGGAGTACTCACCCGCTATCGCCTCAGCGTAAGAACGAGGGGTCGCGATGTCTGGAGCATCCGGGTCTCCCTCAGGGGCAAGCAGCATGGACACGAGATGAGGCGCAGCGGCTGCAAAACACTCAAGGTCCTCTTGCCTGTCCTCAAGGACGTCCGTGCCAAGAGCACACTCACCCCCGACAGACGGAGGACAGACAGACTCGGACTCAGCAACAAGACTAGCGGCGTAGTCTACACGACAGGCAGCAGCAAAGTCAACAAGCTCAGCGACTAAGGCAGACGCAGCAGCGGACTCAAACGACGGGTCAGTGACAACAGTGGCTAGCAGACGCGTGACAGTAGGGTGCTCAGCACGAAACCGGTCAGACTCAGGGTCGGCAACGGCAGGCAGAGAAGACGCAGGAGGAGACGGCAGAGGAACACGCTGCGAAGGAGAGGAAGGACGACGGACTACAAGGTCGGGCTGACGCGGACGAGGAACACGACGACCGGACCAACCAGAACGGACAGGCGAGACAGGACGCGACGCAGGCTCACGACGCTCAATAAGACCCCCTGTCTGCTCAGTGTAAGGAGAAGGAGCAGGCAGCGGTGAGCCAGGCTGTAACGGAAGACCAGTAGACGAAGGGAGACTAAGAACCTGGCGAAGCACAGAGTCAGGCGGTGGCTGAGACGACGGAGACGGTGGAGCGAAGAACACGCGCGGCTGTGCAGTGACACCAGCACCAGCAGCTCCAGTACCCCCAGCAGCTCCAGCACCTCCAGCAGCTCCAGAACCCTCAGCGCCAGCTCCTCTAGGACCAGCTCCACCAACAGCAGCACCCCCAAAACCGGCACCTCCAGTCCCAGGGTCTACAGCCTCCGTGTCTCCAGCAGCAGCACCCCCAGACCCAGGGTCTCCAGCAGTAGCACCCTCAGGCTCAGCACCTCCAGCCCCAGCAGCTCCAGTACGTCCAGTACGAGCACCTCCGGGACCAGCACCACTCCCAGCTCCAGTGACGTCAGCAGAAGTACCTCCAGCGGCAGAGCCCCGAGCTCCAGAAGTGCGACCCTGACGGCGACCGTACCAGTCCTGCAGCTGCTGTGAGGTGAGAGGCACACGCGGACGAAGGCGGCTACTCCAAGGAGACCGCGTAACAGCAGACTCAGAACCCTCAGCGCCAGCACCCGCAGCAGCTCCAGAACCTTCAGTGCCAGCACCCTCAGCAGCTCCAGAACCTCCAGCTCCAGCGCCACCAACGCCAGCACCTCCAGCAGCTCCAGAACCACCAGCTCCAGCACCCTCAGTAGCTCCAGAACCTCCAGCTCCAGCGCCACCAGCGCCAGCACCTCCAGCTCCAGCGTCACCAGCGCCAGCACCTCCAGCAGCTCCAGAACCTCCAGCTCCAACAGCCTCAGCAGCTCCAGAACCTCCAGCAGAAACAACTCCAGTAGCAGAGTCACCAGCTCCAGCGCCTCCCGCAGCAGGGCCCCTAGCTCCAGCAGCGCGACCCTGACGGTCAACGTACCACTCAAGCAGCTGCTGTGGGGAGAGAGGGAGTCGACGACGAGAGTGCAGCGGCGAGGCACCAGCGGAGCGACTACGGAGACGGCCGCTCCAGGGAGACCGCTCACCAGACGCCTCAGCGCCCCCAGGTGCAGCACCCCCAGACTCAGTACCCCCAGGCTGAGCACGCCCAGGCTCAGCACCTCCAGTCTCCGCACCCCCAGGCTCCGCACCCCCAGGCTCCGAACCTCCAGGCTCCGCACCCCCAGGCTCAGCACCCCAAGGCTCCGCACCCCCAG